GGGAACCGGAGGTCCGGTGCAAATAATTGCCCCTGAGCCTGCCTGGATTGGAAATCTCTGGCGCAACTTCGTTCGGTTCAGCGGAAAAGCGTTTGGGGCAGGGGTAGGCAACCTCGGCTCTTTTATGACCCGGGAATTCTGGGAGTTGAAGTCCACGAGTCATAAAAGAGCCGAGGTTGCCTACCCCTGGTTTGGGGCTACTCCGTCCCGGAGGGAAGAAGGTTCCGCCAGCTGCGCGAATCAAGGCAAGGGCTCCTTCAGCCGCTAGGAGTTTTCAAGGCTACTTAATGAGATAACGGCAAAGCAATCTGGACCAGCCTCGCATCGTTGGCAGCAGCAGCAGCATCCTTTTACCTTTTAGCCGGGGTTTATAGCAGGTGGACTCGGACTCCCCAAAACTTCTCAGGACCTTTCTGGGATGCCCAAAGCCTAGGAGGGGGAGTTTGCCGGCGCGAACTTCTCTGCTCGCGGATCTTCTAGCACTCCGCGGCGCTTTTCTCCGAAGCGACGTCGCCCAGGACAGCAAGCAGATGGAAGCCTCCCAGTAGAGCTTAGGCCAGTAGCCAGACCCGCAGAGTTGCCAGAAATCCAGCTTGGCGGGGCTGAGCTTGGCGAAGCCGAAGGCCGTTCCTTCGGGGCGCAGTCTCTGCCCAGGCTTCGGTCTCCTCGGATTCCCTTCCCGAAACCCAGGCGATCCGGTTCGCCCGGGGGGGGGTGGTGGTGATGGTGATGGTGGTGGTGGACCTCAAAGCATCTCTCAGCGGCCGTCGGGGAAAGCGGGACAGTGGGCGAACCTCTGGCGGTCAATCTCGGGCGGGGAGGGGCTTCCACCGGTCCCGCGGGGCAGCGGCGGCGGGGGGGGGTCCCGGGGCGGCCCCCACAATGCCCGCGAATGGGGGTCCTGGATGATAAACCTGAGGAGCGCCGCCCCGAAGAACGGCGCGTCATCGCAAGGAGCCCCTCCGCCCCCCGACTCTTTTGTCTCCCGACTGCTCCGCAGCCCTATAAAAGCCCCTCGCCTTCGGTGGCGAGCTTAGATCAAGCCCGGGCGCGTCCGGCCGTCGGTCGGGTCTCCCGGAGAGGGAGAAGGGAAGGAGGGCTGCAAGCATCCACCGGCGGGCCAGGCCCCTTTTCGGACTCCTCGTATTGCCTGGACGTTAAGGGCACTGCGGCTGCCTCTGCCTGGGTGGCTCTCCTCCTCCTCCTCCTCCTCCTTCTTCCCCGAGCAGGGAAGCCTCTCCCACCCCGCCTGCCTTCTCCCAAGCCCAGACCATGAATTCCGACTCCAGCTCCGTCTCCAGCAGAGCCTCCTCGCCGGACATGGAAGAGCTGTACCTGCGGGACCACCACCATCACCACCACCACCACCACCACCACTCGGTCTCCTCCACCCAGAACGAAGTGGGCCAGAAGGGCTCGGGCGAAGGCCTCTCCCGGAGCGGCGCCAAAGGCTCGGCGGGCGAGAGCAGCAAGTACAAAATCAAGAAGCAGCTTTCCGAGCAGGACCTGCAGCAGCTGCGGCTGAAGATCAACGGGCGGGAGCGGAAGCGCATGCACGACCTCAACCTGGCCATGGACGGGCTCCGCGAGGTGATGCCTTACGCCC